TATTAATACATTACCTATTTCTATGGAAAACCTTGCCATGAGAACAGAAAGTAAAAAAGTGAAATTGATAATATTTTCAGATGTAGAGGTTTGTACTACATGAAAAAAATCTCTACCAAAGGAGAGGGTGGAGGAAAAAAAAAAAAAAAAAACAAAAAACAAAACACACCACCAAAGAACAAGCAACAACAGAAGTAGATATTTACCCCACTTTGCAGCAAGAGGACACATCACAGAATATAAGAAGAAAAGAAGTTTCTGTTGACAACCAGTTTTTCTTCCAGAAGCTGATCAGGAAGTGACCAACTCAGACTAAAGAATACATTGAGAAACTGCAAAATGAATAGTCAGTACCTTAGAACAGCTATATCTATTTCTGTAGAGGAGAAAATGAATTAGAAGTTTAACTTTCCAGGTTCCACATTTTCCTTAACTCTTATTTGAAAAAAATACCCTGCACAATCATCTTGAAGCCTTGGAATAATACTTACTGAAAGAAGAGTAAGAAATTCACTGCTTCATTAATATAAGGATTTACACATGCTTGAAAAAAAAATTTAAAAAAACCACATTTATCTAAAATTATTAGCAGATGGTAAAGAATAAAGGACCAAAAATTTATTGGAGTTAAGACTGAGATTCCGTGTAGCACACAACAGAAATAAGGAAGAGTACCTAGGCCAGATGCAAAAACATTCACACAGATTAGACACTCAGACATGTCCTTGCTTCCAAATGACTTATATAGGTCATTTATGTGATACACGAGTCCACATCTGAGATATATCAGCATTAAATCACCCTCCAACATGGGTGAAGTCAAGGAACTCTCTTTTCTATGGTAATTGTTGGTACTTTCCAAAAGTTGCTTAGGACTTTTCCTGAAGTTACCATATTGCTCCTTGTTAATGCACGAGAAGATTAAAGAAAACACAGGTCTGCAAAGGATATTTAATGAACGTATTGAAATAAAAACATAAAAGCTTCATTAGCATCCAAACCCACAATAGTTCATGTTTATCAAGTACTAACGTGCTTGTGTTAGGTATTACATCTCAATACAATAAGTATGCAAAGAAGATTTTGAACATGCCTTTAAAGAGCAACTGTTATAGCTAAAAATGAGTCTGAAACCAGATAGAAAGCCTGCAGCTATGTATTAAGGACACATCGTATCAGAGACTATTCTTGAGAGTGTGCTGAAAATCATATTTCTGCCAACTTCTTGTCTTCTGTCTTTTCTGATTACCAATGCAGCATGTGTCAATGTTCAATAATGACTGCTGAAGTATTCATGCTTGATGGCTTAGGATGTCATAATGAAAGTACAAGGTTTATTAATCCTCTCATCAATAGAAGCCACAGGGTGTCTGTCACACTTCATTTGTGTGTGCCAAGAGTAAATAAACTGCAGCAAATGAAAAGTGTTTTTATAAATACAGACAGATGTCAAGTGGTTTACGTAGTTACTCATGCTGTATTTCCTATTAAAGGCTTTCAGGCTTCATAAAAATTTCAAAAAGCCATACTTGAAGATGCCTATATTTCCATATATATTTTTACATTAATGTTGCATATGAATGAAATAAAAATATTATTAAATCAATAGCCAAGTAAAAATAAACTCATGTCTCAGTCTGCCTCAATATTTACAAGTTACCCATCTGGAAATCGTCTGGTAGAGAAAACAATTTGAGAATCTTAATCATTTTCAACTAGAAGCACAATTAATAGACCCACCCACAAAGTAAAAATAAATAAATAAATAAATAAATAAATAAATCAGAGATAGAAGATACTGTGCTTAGGAACACCTCATGTAACTTCAAACCAAACATTGGAAGTGATAGTCACCACTACTTGAACATCACAGAAGAAAGTTTACTGACATGCAAAGCAAATTCTACTGAAAGACGTGTTATGACTACAGTTTGCTTGAGAAATCAGGAGATCATGAAAAGGAGCCTTGGTAGGCCAAGGGAGGAGGTAATTCTGTAGCTGTCCCACACAAAGTATTGCATCTGTCGCTCCGTTAGTACATAAACTCTACTACGAAGCAGATCTGTAGTTTCTTTGAGATAGAGCTCTACCCAAGATTCCAGTTAGTTTATGTAAAATGGTCTCTGTGGTGAAAAGCAAGCTGCAAACATAAATTAACTTGTCAGAAACTCAGACCAAATGATACTATGTTGAATATGGCTGTATTTTTTCCATCTGCAGTAATGACAGATGCTACACTGCAATTGATCTTGAGGGCAAGAAGTAACTGCTGACTGGCATTTACCACGCTGCCATAGACACACCCTGAGGCTCAATAAAGTCATAAGCCAAGTAACTGGAATATTACCTTAATGAATAAAAGGATGTCACATATAAAAAAAGTATATATTTATAATATATTTATATGTGTGTATATATGCATATAGTATTTATAATATTATATATGTATATATAAATATGTTATCCTAAACTTGGGAATGCTAGCATCAAACTATAGCTTAAAGCCTGGTCTTATTTATTGACAATACAACATTGTTTTGCTGATCCCTTCAATGTGATCAAGCAAGATTTTTTTTTCAAACTGTGCAGTATCTCCATTGAAACTCATGAGTATGCTGCTGGGTCAAAGCCTTAGAATTTTTTGTAATCCTTATCCTGAGATCACAAGGCCTCCTAACAGAGGCTTCTCATGCTTGCTTTGTCTGAACTTTATTTGACAGGCCTGCAGCTTTGTATTACTTGTTGCAGCTGTAACAGTATTTTTTCTAATTGACTGTTGTATGCCACTTGCTTTAAGCCTAAATTTATATGGTATCTCCATGAGGTTTCAATTCCAACATAAGACCTAATACAAATAAAAAAAGGCCTGGTGTAACAGGCCTTGAGAACTGGAGATACACAAGGGAGTGTAGAGGAATACAAGCATGGGATGACTGTAAGCGTAACACAGACTTAGCATTGTAGATGTCAAGTCTCCAGAAACAACTCATACCAATGGTTATAGAAAAGTAGGCCAGCACAGAAAGGGTGTCAGAGTAACAAAGAGAACAAAGAAATAACATCTAACATACACAACAAGCATCATACATGGTAAATTGAGATATAACATGTCACATGCTGACACAAAGAACAAGGTTCAAAACTTTGTCAGTAGATGTATGAAAAGGATCCCCAAAGTGGATCCTAGAGTGCGAAAAAAAATAGTCAGCGCCATATTCCTTTCAGTGAGGGACTCCAGAAGCTGATGAATTACTCCGACACCTTCACTACCAACACCAGGATGAGATTGCTGATCTTAGGACCCAGAGAAGTAGGGGAAAGGTGCACATAACTTTAGGAGAAGGGGCAGAAAGTTGCAAAGTGTACATACAATAATTTAAAGTGCATTAATACTGAGACTTCCTGCATAGTCTTATTTTTTTTTTCTGTAGTAAAGAGACCTGAACGTATGATGTTTAATCTGTTAAGATTTCAGTTACGAAAAAAAAAAAAAGTAATTTATATATACACTTGCATTTTCCATAGTCCATAAATGAGATTGCATATAGCAGCTTATATAAAGTGAATATTGCTTAGGAAGCCATGAACAAAAGTCTACTTAGACATGCTCTTTGTACAGCAGTTAACACTTTTGATTAGCTGCTCAGAGCAACAGCTGTAAACCACCACTGTAACATTTTACAGCACTTCATACTTGAAACCATTTATTTCGCAGTTAGCCTCTGAAAGACCTAATTAACTCCTGCTGTAGATCTCTACTAATGAGTCAACACCTTTTCTCATGGAAACTAGCTATTTATAAGTTTAAATGGATTTTATGTTGGAATCCGAGGTTTAAGAAATATATATATATATATATATTTATTGGAATGATTTATAATTAATAATTAATTCAGGAAATCTGACACAACAAATGGGCTATCTGCATCATCATTAATATAAGCCAGTCCTTTATGCTATACAAATTGATAACATCCCTTATTGAAGTAACTACTGAAACCTCTATTCTGAAGTAAAACTTGGAACAGTCTATGAAGTTTTGTGTAGTTCAAGTCACTGCTGTTAGCACAAGTATTAAAAAGTTAGATTTCATAGTTCAAATACAAAGATTTCAGCTTGCTTAGAGCCAAGGCAAACACATACACTTAAAATATTAATCAATCTTATGTAAAGATTTGGTGAAACCAATACAAATAAACTAAAACATTTGCAGTTAAGCTTTTATCTCGCATTCCTTTACTATCTTCACATCATCCTGCATCTGTGGTATATTATAGCCTATATTCCTTATATCTAATGAGGAAAAAATAACCCCCCCAACTCTCTAAAGACAATATTCCCTTCAATGAGAGGAGGAAACAATGAAATGAAGCAAGAAACAGGTGACTTTTGGCATTGTGTTATTTTTTTCCATTTACCAAAAATCCTACTATGGATCTTGCTCTTTTTGTAGACATATCAATGTTGTATGTTACATCAGGCTCAGAGTTTCAGATTGCATAATTCATGATCCTTTCTTTTCATTTGATAACTGAAAACAGATGGCTAGCAACCACAAGTGCCTTTATAACACTATCCTAACAGGTTGGGTTTTAGTTGTTGTTTTTCTTTTGTTTTTAAAGAAAAATGCAAATGGAGCTTGCATTCACATCAGAACTACCAAAATTGCTTTACCTCAGCAGCCTCATGATTTTACTTCAAAAAAATATTTAATTGCTTTAAAAACAGACATCCAGAACTAGAAATGCAATTTTGGACATGAACAACTATATTTTAAGTCACCAAATCAGAATCTACGTTTTAACCACAGCTACTTGCAAACATCCGTAAACTCTTCATCTTTCTAGTACTACTCTGTCTGCCAAAGTAACAATATTTTTAATCCTGACTTATTGACTATTTCAGTCCTAACATTAACGAAATGTTGTTAACAGTAAATAAGAGTTGAGTAACAGAGTATTTTCTTCCATATATTTTTCAATGTACATGAAAAGACTCACCACATCAGGAAACAGGAAAAGCAGAGCTTCTCTGCAAGACGCAAAGGAGCATGGAGCTGCCAGGGACCCAGGGTCCTGAGCAGGGTGGGCAGCACAAGGGGCTACCAACAGTTCATCCCCAGACACAGCAAGGGGAAGGAGCAGCAGTGGCTGAAATTGCAGCATGGGTCCAAGATCCTTCCCAGAGACAGGAAAAGAGACAAACCTACCTATAGTGTAACTCTAGGAAAGACTCTGCCTCCATGCCTAACCTCAAACAGAGCTCCTGGCGGAGGGTGAATGCCCAGGTGAGGCTGATCAGGGCAATTAAGGCCTAGTAGTGCACTCAGGGCTCTGAATATTGATTTAAAGGCTAAAAAACACCCTTTCACCTGTGCTATAACAAACAGGTGTAGTTATAAGTTCTAAACCTGTAGTTACAAATTTTTGTGTTTTTGCATTTTCATTTTCTCGTTTTCAACAAGAGTGGATATATCTTCTCCTCACAAAGCATTAATAGAAACTGGTCATGAATCCAAATGAAAACTTACCATAAAAACATCAAGAAAAAGCCCATGCTAACTTTAATAAATAACCATAGGAAATCATTATGTACACAAGCTTCCAACACAAAGCATTACGATTACGAATATTAAAAGCATCTTAACTCTGATATTTTGATAAAGAAGTCCTTCCCCCGTTTGTAGAAAAAGTCCCCCGTTTGTAGAAAAAGCGATCGATAATAAAACACTTGATAATCCTAATTAATTCAAGGAAAAAAACAAATAAAGAAAACCATCTAACATGTAGTTGCACCTCTTTTCTTTAAAAATTTGGCCGCTGTTTCCAAGTCCCTTTATAAACATGTTAGTGCCACAGATCACTTACTTTGGTTGTCAACTGTACATGTATATCTTAAAGTAGGTTTTTCAGGGAGTCACACACTTCTGTTTTCTCAATGTCTGGAAAAGAAAAAAGTTTCATAATAAATCAATCTGTCAGAGACGTGTATTTATTTTTGCAAAATATTTTCCTCATTTCTGTAAAACGAGGTGCAGAAATCTTCAGTATATTGACCTAGACAGTGACGTCTTGATGACACACTGACTGGGACTTAGTACTAGCTTTTGTTTGGACCTTGGTCTGGTTGGACCTTGACACTTCAGAATTTCAATTATGAAAATTTCCATTACCAAATTTAGAAAAAAATATATACAGTTGTAATTAGTTCAAAATATGTTATAGATGGCACCTTTTTCTTAGCTAACAACAATAATGACAGATATTTCTACATGCAGTCTGAATTGGCAGAAGAGATTAATTTTGCAGAAAGATGGGAATAATTTTGTAGCACAATGCTTTATGCTTCTGCTAAGACTGAACTCCTGCTATTAGTCACTGTGTCTGTTAGTGAAATATAAGGACTCCAGTGAAAAACTGTGAACAACGATGAGAGAATTTTACCCTCAAATTACATATTTTCTCCCCAAAACTAATTTGTATAAGTTACATTTTCTGCCTTCAAACCGTTCTCATTAAGAAGCCATGAACTTTGCTTAAAGAAATGATTTGCATGGGACTTTCATCATGAGAACATTGTTCAAAGGAACATCCAATTTAATTAGGATACTGATATGCTTTTCTCATCTTAAAAAATTAACAATGAGAAGTCTTCTAGACAGAAATTAAAATTATTTTCACATAGGTATTATTATATTTTCTAGGAATTCTGATTACTACAGGATGTAGTGTGTTCAGGACAACATTAATGACAATCCATAGATGAAGCCTACAGTAAATCCATATACATGTACGTGCAAATCTAATATGCAATCCTACAGTAAATGTGATACTATCATCTTTACATACAAATATTTATACAGATATTTTTCATACTTTCTACTCTTACGTGTTGTTGTCTTGAATAGCATTAAACTCATTTAAATGGAATACTCAATCAATGCAATAGTTATTAATGCTGTATTACATTACTCAGAAATTGTAAGAAAATAGATTTGCATTTGGAATTTATATAATCAACAAGAGAGAATAGCACCTTGAGAATAGACAAAATTAGGAGATGCACATTACTACATTTATGTAAATACATTAGGAAGTGACTTGCTCTGAAATCTTAGCAGGATATACTTTTATGCAAGATAACATTTCTTTCTAAAGTCAGGGAGCATTTAGGAGCAACATACTAACCAAGTTAGGGAGAACCATGGTTTCTTATTGCATTGGAGACTTCATAAACATATTTTCTAGTAACTTTAAAATATTTGTAAATGACATGAAATAAAAAGGCAGAAATGCCTAGAAAACATTAATAGAGTATGTGTTTGATGGTCTTTGTTGCCTAAAGGTAATTTTATAAAAGGGTTTAGATGACACTAACTCCTTGGGCAGAAATAATTGTTGTTGTTGTTTTGTTTTGTAAAGGGATGACAATGGGGCTAAAGAAAAATGTTCCACTCTGTGTAATATAAATGATTTATAAAAATGAATTCAGAATCCTTCAAGCTGTAAGAACTGCCCAAGAACACACATATGAATATATAGAGACATATGATGTGCCCTAAAGTAGAAAGATTAAAAATGACATTTATTTATTTATTTTGTAATATGATTTCTGACCTGGATATTATAAAAAAAAAATAAAAATGCTGTAATTTTTATTCCCTTCTTTTAGGATTTTTTTATGTCAGAAATTTTGTATTCCTGATCAATTGCAGAACTCCTGGGAGTTTTCCCTTTCTAAATTCAGCATAGCTGGTTGCTAAAAAAAGCCATTCAAAGATCAAAGAAGGGACGCTTATATTCAGTCAGCACTTCGTCAGGTAACATATTATTAAATGAAGTTTACTTTGAATCATTTGCAACTACAAAAGTTTGCATATAAACAAGTTACTGTCATTACCTGATGCTAATAATTTCTCACTCCATTGTGACAGAAAATTGCATGAGGAAGAGGCATCTAGATGCAGCTTATAACCTACATATAGTTTAGGAAATGCCATGTTTTTACTAGGGACTGAATTAATACGTAGAAATGAAAGTCATGGTATTTATTAATCATTGTTACCCTGATATGTATATCAGGGTAATATGTGTGTATATATGTATAAAATCAGAAAACTGACATATATTTACAGTTAGGAATGTTGTATCAGCTAAAGCAAAGCAGAGTCAAAGTTAAGAAGTAAATATTGAAGTATGAGCCTTTGTACTTCTTGGAACATCAATTCCTATCAGATGAGCCTGAATTTTACAATAGTGTCTGTGAAGATTTCTGTAACCGTTCTTAGAGACGCAGGATTATATTTAGCTGAATTTTCTATGCCAACTTTCTTATAATAATAAAACAAAACATTTCATATCTTTGCAACTACTTTGTCTCATTCAAAGACAGGGCCACATAAGACTCACATATGTTAAGGCAATGATTAAATATTTAAATAACATAAACTGGATTCATACGTAATTCTAATTCCTTGATCCTTATTCATTGTTCCTCAGGCAACTATTAATACTAGTAGCATGTGTACACTTGCACACAAACAACCAACCAAAATCCCCACTAATCAGAGTAACTAAAAGGAATTTATTTTAAAAATATTTTGGTTTGCCAACTTGCATGTTCACAGGTGTGATAGCAAGTGACTTTCTTTCAACTCTCCTTTTATGAAAGGGGGTGCTAGAAGCTACCCAACAGCTTTGTTTGCCAATGGCAAGTCTTAGCTTCACCAAAGCAGGGAAATTTCTGTGGAGTAATGGAGTTTCAGAGAGTAATAACCCCTCTTGAAGATTTTTGGCATATTTTTTTAAATTGTAGATGTGCTACAAAAAAAAAAAAAAAAAAAGAGCTTATCTTTTCAGCAGTGAATGACAGTTAACTAAGCAGACAAGTCAAAAGGAAATCAATGAAGACAACCTAAGGTCAGAAGTGAGTAAGTCAAGGCTTGTACACCGTTGATGCAATGTACTGACCATGGATGAAGTCAGAAATAATAGCAATGTAAGCACACATTGGATTTTGCTTGCATGCTTTCTTCTTTCTAAAATTCACACATGAAACTTACCTTATTCAAGCACCTTATCTTCACTAAGCAAAATATACTCAGAAGTTAAAATGTCTCTAAATCATCAAAATATATGGCAATATAATAATCAAAATATATGGCAATACATTGTTTTTTGACCTAATTTTCATTAGTTACTTACTGTAAAAATACACTATTATTACTGTAAAGCTAAACCTGGTCACATACAATGAAAATTCAGCAGTCTTATAATGCCATTCTTGATTAGTGCTCATTTTGAGTCATGAACATCAAGGATGTATATTAATAATATCCTCATTAAAAACGTGGATTAAATATAAAAGTTGATATTTGTCAGAAACAGCCTGAACAGAAAAGTTTAGATTGTTCTACCTTCTCAGTAACAGTGTTCTGCCTTCTCAGTAACAGTGAAGAATGGTGGATCTTGAGCTGACAGTGAGATTTGTACTTTGTTATACCCTTTAATACAGTTTTGGATATGCTCAGTTTGCCTAAACTCCAAGTGGAAGTTTAAGACTAAGAATGCATGTATAGCACAGAACTGGGTACCCAGGGATTTACCCCACCTTGAAACAAAATGCCTGAGATTATGTTTGGAACTGTAGCACTACAGTTTGGATTCTATTTACAAAAGACAAGAAGCAGCACATACCTAATTAGAATTCAAGTGATTATAACAGTGAAAAAAGTATATATAGTCATATATATATGTCTGTGCCTCTGTCTGGCCCTATTTCAGCACAGAACTGAGTGATCTGGGCTGCGTGATATTCTTCAACACAAATAAATTGACACCCAGAGCACAAGGTATATTATGAAGTAAGCCCCACAACAAAACAAAACATCTGAATCCAAAGTAGTTAATATCACAAAACTCCACACAGAATTACTCCTAGTATATCTACAGGGATGGAAAGTTGGTCAAAGCAAAAATCATTGTATCTGTAATGCACATAGCAAAAATAGTAGCAATACAGTTAATATTTTTAAGTCACTGTATATTTATTAACAGCAGAATTCTTCAGTAGCACTTTATTAAAAACTGATTGGTTGCTTAAGCTTAGGAACAACTTCAGAGAATGGTTAGCAAAACTTCCCTTGTAGTTCACTACCTATAAAAAAGGAAATGTAATTAAAATAATCTATGGCTCCATAACACATACAAGTGAATAGGCTCTCTTAAGGTTTTCTTCCTTCTATTCCAAATGAATTCCCATTTACGCTGATACCAGATATACGCTGGTTTTCACACACTTCA